CGAATCCCGGTTGCGTTTTGATCTCTACTGCTTTACTCACGCCCGTTCCACATGTGACCTGAATCTTGGGTGGAGTATAATGTGCCGTCGAAGTTGATCCGTTGAACTGATCCGATGGACTGCGTAGAGTGTAATGGCTGAGCAGCATTCAAGTTGTTTGAATCCGATTGGATTTGGTGGAGGAAAACGCGCACATCGTTTGTGCTCCGTGCTTCACATAAAGGGTTGCCTGGCTGTCTGGCCTATGTTTGTCTGAAAGTTCTGCACAGGGAATATGGCAGACTGTGCAGTGTTTCGGTTTGTTAAGGTTCTCTACCCCTACAAGGCGACTGTGCTACCGATCGGAAGAATGTTTTGATATCATAATTTGGAAGTATCTTTCGAATTGCCATTCCTACAGAGCAAACCCAGAGTGACCATTCCGGGTAGCGTTCTCCCCATTCGTAGGGGAATAGCCCTGCGGGATATCATAATCTGGAAGTATCTTTCGAATTGCCATTCCTACAGAGCAAACCCAGAGTGACCATTCCGGGTAGCGTTCTCCCCATTCGTAGGGGAATTAGCCCTGCGGTTTATCTGTTCTGCTATAATACCCTACTGAGTCACTCCACTTCGTCTGCTCGTATGGACTCAACCAAACATAGTTTCTTGACAGGATTCACCAACACTCCACGTTGGACTTAGTGTGGATGCGACGAGACTTCGTGTACGTGCCAGTCTGAATGTGTGGGTTTTGAGAATCCATGGTTGGTGTTAATAGATAGCCTGAGGATCGGGAAACTAACAGTTCTCTGTTCAATCTCAGTTTCCATTTTAATTTCACACCAGTGTATAGTTCATTCAAGCAGTTTAGGAAAGCTTGTCATTGTGTGGCTGATATGATCGCAAATATGTTGTCGACGTATCTCGGTCAGATGTATGGTAGATGGGCGGTCACGTAAGCCCTTAGCCTCAACTCAGCATGGTGCAAGAAATGATTAGCCACCATGGGTGATATTGGGGAGTCCATTGCGAAGCCGTTCATTTGTCTATTGAGTATGCCTCGGGATCTGGAATAATGGTTTTATACAGCTCAACACCATTAATAATATCAACGGGGATGAGGAGAGTAGAAAATAATTACGAAATCCAGGGTCATTCATGTAGCTTACCACCAGCTGATAATGTCTTTAGCACATTGCTTATGCATTTCGATAATGTTTAAGTTGAACAAGTATTATGGTCCAAGGTCGAAAGTAAGGGGATGCCTGTTTTGTGTACTCTTGACAACCTCATGAGTCTTTCGGCTCTGTTGGATTGAAACAAAAGTGAATACCACCGTGCTTGACCAAGCTTGAGTTTTAGTTATTTTAGGCACTTACTAACCCGTTGAGGGATAGACCTCCCTTTTACCGTTCGATCCTTTTGAAAGGACCCAGTGTTGGATGTTCTTTATAGTCCTTTCAACCCATAAAAATCCATACATCGCCGTTTTCCACTCCGGTGACTTTGACTGACTCGTCCTTCTTCGGTGAATTCATGATACCTATCTCTTTCCGCGACATGTTGCCTCGGATTGGTCGCTGGTTTTTGTGAATATTATGGATGCGAAATCTAGCTTCTGCTGGAAGCTTCAAGAGCGTAGGGTCTATAGCCTGGATTACTTCTCTTGTGTATGTTATTGAAATTGAAAAAAGCAGTTTATTCTAGGGAAATGGCCTTGTAATCATCGATTTTCCGTGGTTCGATGCCTAAACTAAATATACACGAAATAACCCAGGCTAAGTAACTTTAGACAGGAAATATTTATGGAGTGTGGTAGGCTCAATATTGTGGTCCCTAATCAGGTTCATCACTTACCAACTTCGCCAAGTAAAGCTGCGTTTGCTGAATGAATGTTCATCGTTGGGAATGGACCAAATCGCTTTTCTTCCATCATTGTTCTAAATAGTCTTCTATCAGCTAAAATAAGGGAACAATTATGGCATGAAAGCAAAAGATTTGATAAGTTTTGATACTGTGGAGCAAAGGACTTTTTCCAATCCCTTGGTCCTTATTGTTTGTCACACCCCGGTCACCTGAAGGCCAGTTTAACCTTCCGAATGACTTTCAGTGGTTTGTGAACTCAGTTACGTTTTTATGTCAGTTCGTGATTTCTGCATTTTTAGATTTTGCTCATGTAGGATGCAAGTGTTTACCGGAGATACTCCCTCGCTAACTAACTACACACGTACTCTCTTTCCTTAAACTACAAACGAATGTAAGCGTTCGTTGTGACCCCAAAAATGACGTCTCAAATATAAGCTTATGTGATCTGGCGTACATTGGGCTTCGTTTCGATCACTGCTGCCTTTGAATTGTGTCGTCAAGACATTCCTGAGAGAAATCCAAGCTCGAAAATGCACAGAAAGGACAACCGATAAATCACTGAAGTGGTTCGAGTGGGACTCATTCAAACCTGACGGTGTCGTAGAACATTGTCGACCCATACTATTTCAACCAGCGGGTTCAACTACCACTTCACCACCTTTAGGTGTAAAACTCATTCTTTACACCATCAGTGCCAAACATTTTCTGATTCACCAGCTCCATTTTTATAAGCGATTTTAAAATATCTAATGATTACATTGTCAAACGGCTGAAGGTTGTTGATACTATCGGGGAAAAGAGGTTGATCCGCATGACATTGACACCCGTATCAGGAAGGTCAGATTCTCGGAAGCAACCACCAAATGCCCGAAATCTACTGAGACCCTCAGCCCCGCTTGATGCTGACTCGACAGACAACACCCCCTCAATATGCAGCGCGTCACAGCCTTGTATCAAACTCAGACAGTGCGAGTCAGTGATGATCAAGGTCAGACAACGCCCCCGCAATAGGCAGCGCGTCACAGCCTCTCACCGAAGCCAGACCGCGTGCGTCAGCATTGGACGAAGTTCAGACAGTGTCCCTCTAATAGGTAGCTTGAGGCACGCACTTGCGCTCTCGCACTCCCGCACTAGCTTGTTTGGAATATGGCTGTGTTCCCTTCTGTGAGTCTTTTCTCCGGCACCAAGCCCTGGGGCGGATCTGCAGTCAGGTATAACAGATTAGCGAATCAGCAGGTATAACAATCCGAAACAAAGTTTTTCTTGCGATTTCGGGTTAAATAGGTCGACTGACCGAAAAAAATGACTTGTTGCTACACTAATTTCCAGGCAGTTTAAGGATTAGATCAAGGTGCTTCGGAACACAATAAAATTCTCGAGCAATGCCGACGGCCTCAGGTACCTCAGGACATTCGAATTTCACTAGTTAAGACGGACAATAAACCCTAGGGAGAGTTAACCTGATGGCTTATGGCGAGCAGAATCTTGGCAACAGGGGACCATGGCGTTTACTGCCGGCAATTCGGCCCGGAACTTTGAAATGGTTTTGGACCCAAAGTGGCACTTACCTCTCATTCTGTGGATCTTAAAAATATATCTTGCTCCGTAATTTCATGCAACTTGATTTACACTATGATTTGGCCAATACAAACTGCCTGCATCTACCATATCTCTGTCTACTCATTGTACTGTTTATAGCTGATGCTGCCTGGCAGCGCTTTACGCCAGCAGCTATGCACAGCCTGATGGTTAGAACTATTTACGACGGCCCGACGAAAACGCTCAGGCCATTTTTTTTAAATTGCGCCATACCCCCAAATTTTAACTGCATTTGGCAGCAGATATCAAAAGGTCTGCATGGGCACACATTAGACACAATTTCGTGCATTCTGCAGATCGTAAAGATCATTCTCAAATCATGGAAGAGCTACAGCGAAAGGTCCAAACAAATTCCATTTAACACATGTAGCCCAACTTCATTTGATAAAGTCGACAATACAAACCATTTGAAGACAGCATCAAAAGTAAACAGGCAAGACGGGAAATGGCGACGCAACATATCAAGCCTGAGAAAAAGATCATTCTACACCGAAAATCGATGCAATTCATGCACGAAGTCTGGTCGAAATACGGATAAGGTCGTTTGAACCGTAGTTTATATGATACTTTATGTAACAATTTGGGTAAAGCACCACAAATATTTGTGAAATTTTTTGACAAGAATTCCGCCGTTTTCATGTAGTACGTATTGAAGCAGTATGATCGTTGCAACAGTTTCTCTTGTAATATTATGGATGATTTTCACTGTCAGCTGCAAATTCCCGGTGGCATGTTGTGTGGGAGGCGAAACAGTGAAACGCTCAGATGGATCGAAAAGTAACACATTACTCATCAGATTTCTGAAAGCTCTTTTACGGCCCACGATCTGTTTTACCATTCTTAAGGCTCATCAGGTAGGCATAGCTCAAAATTTTCCTCAACCTCATGTTCAAATTGAACCCAAATCGGACAAATTATGACGTACTTACATTCGCACAGTAATTTGGATTTAACAAGAGACTCAGCTGAATGTAGCTGAATCTGCTGTTTATGGTGGTCCGCTTTAATTTAATGTGTTGCACGATCATAGTCGGGAAGATCAGCTGGATTCAGTTGGCCCTCGTGTTTGCAACTGGGGTTGTTGGTCGGGACCATGGGCATCGCTTAACACACATTACCTCATGAATGGTTCTGCAAAGATAGGACATGATCGAGTAGCTGGAGGCAACTCGAGATACAGGAAAAGGCCGTGGCTTGTAAAATATATTGCCATGGAACAAAAAACTAATAGTATTTGGCGAGTATAAACTCTGACACACAACAAACCAATGGGAAAACTAGTGTAGATCCTTGTAAAGGGTGCAGTAACAACTTACACTCTGTGTCGTTACTGAGTTCACTGGCTCTGAATTTATAGTCAGTGGGTGGCAGAAAGTCTGCTGAAATTTGAGTCCCGCTTAGTGAAACTTTATCACCAGACCTCGAACTCGGTGCAGGATCCCCTACTTGCTTTGGTGTACTCTCGTCCAGATGTAAGGGTGCCTTTTCACGTTTTTGGGGACAGTCCTGTTGAAATTTTCCAACAAGGCTTCCTGGGGTTGTGTTTAATTGGGTCTCTGGTTCCTTTTTGTTCAACACCGTGATAATGGATGATAATGAGGGCTGTTTTCCTTCAACAATCCTTGATTCACGCTCAATGGATGTGTTGTTTGCCATCATTTCTAACGATGGAGGCCGCAGTGAATTTACTTGAAGTTGCCCAACAATACCGTTTCTCTGCAAACTTTTGCTCTTATCCTCACCACCACTAGTTTTTATTACTTGCTGCTTGCTGTCCGTGTTGATTTGTATGCATCTCGACCGTCCATAAACAGGTGAGTCTGGTCTTTTGGCTGGAACACTCGTTCCCGTCGTCATCAAAGGGTCTAGCAATCCAGAACTTCGGCTTTCACGTTCGTTTTCGGATTCTTCCGTTGCAACCACCGAATCATCTGATGTAGTTGAATCTACAACTTCATCGTCCGAAAGTTCACAATCCTCTCTTAGGACTTCACCGAAATCTTTGTTTTCCCTGGACACTTCGTCAGTAATCGTAAACTCTGTATTTCGCCCTTCGATATGGAATGTCTCCATTTCACCCTTGCCCTACAAAAAAGAATTATACTGAACAGGAAAAAGCGGGTTTTGTTTCAAAGGAAAAACGAAAATATTTTGGTAGAATTACTCGAAATCGGGTTAATTTGGAGAGATTTGCATCAACAGTCTGCCACCACCATAGAGCAAATTAAGTAGATGCAGGATAAATCACCATGGGACATCTCATAGGCAGAATATGAAGAAGCAATATTTAGGATATGGTAGAAAGTTAGTGAAGTTTAGGACGCACCCATTCGGGTCTCAGGTCTAAAAATATGCCAAATGCAAAACAGGGGTTTTGTTATGACAATAGAGCAAATGGTCTTGGAAAAGTGAATTACGGTTGAAACAAATATTCGTCGATGCGCTAATACCAGGGTAAAGCGACTAGGATTGACCGCGGCGGAAAACATGATCTCCAACCGATATTCATCATAACTCTCAACGAAAATGTTTCCGCGGTACTAAGTGGAAGCAAACAATAGAAAAGGAAGATACACTCCTATTTGTAATGTACTACTCATAAGGTTGCTGAAAATCCATCGACAGCCCACTGACAGACATAACATGAAATGTGAGCAATAGTTTCATCTGGTCTACGAGCTGGTGTACAAATGACGGCTCTAGTTACCTATCTTGATGGGGTCTATAAAATATTACCTCATACAGCACCGTTTGACAACTCCTTGTACCACACAGTTGCAGAATGACCAAGTAAACTGTAAGAATCGATATGCCACAATTCATGGGCACTCTGGATTACAGGATACTTTTTGTTTTGTTGTTAACATTGTAAGTGTCAACAAGTAAATGTAGCAACTAGAGAGAGGACATGAATACTGCACAGCAGTTCAGCGGACGCGAACAACATTGAGTCAGTTTGGACCGTTGGGTTGATCTGTAGCCTACAGCGTTGACAAGCAAGTTATCAATCGAGCAAAATGTGCAAACAGACAAAACGCGTCACCTAATGTTGGAAAGTGGTCTAACCGGACGCAACATTCAAGGAAGAGGTATTGTGTTATTTTGGCATAACGTATATTTACCGCCATACCAGTTCTAGTTATCACCGTTCACGTCTGCGAACATACATTTGACACCGCCTCACTACAGGTACTCGTAACTAATCTCATTTGCTGCCTAGCTTTTGCGCATGATGAAACTGCTGCATAATATGCATTGCACAGGCTGCCTCAAGTTCATACTTTGAAGCTATTCGGTAGATTTTCTTTCTGTTACCGGTGTGGGACTGTCAGGACGCACTCAGACAGGGAAAACGTACATGCGCAGAGAGTGACGCATCCCCAAGGTCACCATCGGTACGACAGGTCCAGAAAGCAGGTGCGTTGGCAGAGCTCACCAAAGACGGCTTAGCAACATACGACCAGCGACCACATGGTTTTGTCTAGTCCACTCATGACTAAGGATGACCATGGTGATCGAAACGTGGAGCAACAATATTTGGCTCAGGTATCCCAATTACCAGATGAATCTCTACCTGATTCTATTCACACTACGCCTGCACTGCGCTGTAAGCAGTTTGTTAAAATGTTGGCAGTGTAGGTGCGTTTGCTTATTTCTGATCGATTCTTGAGCTCCACAATGGTTTCTGTCACGCGTTTGCGCGATGTGATGAAAAATAACCCCACTAACGTGTTTTGCGTCACAAAACTTACGTCTTCACTCACTATCTTTTTGAGAGGCGCAAATTACTGAAACTAATCAGTAACAAGAGTGTAGAAACTGCTTACTTTAACGATGGCTTTTCCAAGTGACTTCACAATGTACGGATAAGGCTTCAACGACTCAGCAAAAGCGTTGCTCACGCGGATTTCGTCTGGCTGAATGAGTTATAGAACAGATGACAGTGAGAAAATTATTGAAAATTTATCTCATCAATGATCATAATATGCATTTTAGAATAATTGTGTGAATACTGGCAACAAGTACTTAACCTGTGCTTGAAAAAGCAGTTGTGTTAACAATTGATTTGACTCCTAGCTGGCAGGTGCGCATAGTCGGAGGGCTGTTATAGATATTGTTTGGAATTTTTAGGGTTCATGGGGTTTGCAAACCCGCTAACTCCAAAAGTAAAAAATTCTTTCTCAGGAGGCTTCTCTGAAAAATAGCACTCGTATTGGTGTTGCGTTAGTGGCAATATCCACTTCCGAGACATAAGACCAATCAGAAGTAACGACAAGAATTGAAAGTACCACATTTGCAACTTATTCGGGGCACCACACCAATTTTAAGAATTTTCTGCCACTTAGGCATGAGAAAATACTCATCCGCAATTTATATTTAAAGACAATCAGAAGTTACACTCAAAACTCTGAAAGAGGACGACATGCCGATAGGAAATGGCTATCCTGAGAATTTTACAAAATGTGATACTCTCAGTTTGTCACCAGAGCCACAGGTTTTTATAGCAGAGAAGAATCCTGACTTCACCCACCACTCAAGAAAGATTTGCAGACTCGGCCATAGCCGGAATTCTCCTCGTTGCCACTCTTAACTCTTGATTTGCGACTCGGTGACTGGTAACCAGCAATGTGGAAGACCGAGTACCGTCCACGACTAACACACACTAGTATATTCATTCTGATGCGGCCGTACTGTAAAGTACATTAGAAGTACGACATGACAGTTCGACCAAAGAACAAAGGAATATGTGCCTTATCATTTGCAATAGGACACCGATGGTTTGTGCAGTCGGCCAGCACCTGGTCGACACACTGCAACAGTGATCTTAATGGGCCTTCACAATGCCCTTTATATATCGCCACCATCACCTTCAGCTGTATAAACCGGCTACTTCGTGTACAATGGCTACAGTTGCCATAGTTTCGTCCACCGATGATTTAGGGAGATAGGGGTAGATAGCTATGCATTGGAGGTGGTAGCTGATAGTAACTGATGCGCTAATGCAAGGTGTCAGTGGATTTTCGTTAGTGAGGATAGAAAGTAGAAACTGCGTACTGCACGTAACAGCTTGGGCGCAGTTGCACCATTGAATGGTTGACTCGGCTTCTCTTCAAGATTCGGATTACTGTACACATGTTACGTGAATCAGCGGCAACACCATGACAGCCGTAACAAAACCTGGTCACACTGTATCGAAAACAAATAAGACAATTGTCCCTTCCGAATAGGTCTCATGATAATAATAATCCTCTAGTTCCCGCTGCTTCTAATGATCACTCCCTCTTTTCTCTACACGAACTACCGCTGGAAACTGTCACCGTGATTCAATTAGCTGTAGGCCTGGCAACCAGATTTTGTTTAAGACAAAAACCGGTGATTTTTTCAAAGAAAGGCAAAATTTCTAGGTACAAGTTGATCGTTTTCTTCCTTACATGATGTTTCTAAGGCTCATTTCGGATCTAATGGTAGCACAGATTGCAAGTGTAAGGGTTCTTTGAAAAGATGAGAAATCTCGTTGATCATGAAAAACGTGCCCACCCACAAAAGACATTATTCTGACCTCTCCGGAAGAGTGGATTATTCAGGTTAACATTTTCGATCAGTGATTTAAGTTCTTGATAGTAGCAGAAACTCTATTAAATATTGTAGCAGTGCCTTCGGCAAAGCATGGTGTTTTTGTCACTGATTTGGACAAGACCGGTGAACTTTTGACCTCAGTACCAAAGTTGTGATGACCCAAACAGTTTGTATACATACGTTTAACTTTTTCTGGAGTAATACTACTCATAAGAGTGATGAGAACTCCGACAATTCATGACCGGTTTCGCCTTTCATGGGCTTTTCATGTAAGCTACAATTCATGACCGGTTTCGCCTTTCATGGGACTTATCATGTAAGCTCTGTCACCGAGTTCCTGTAAGCTTTATGTTCTGCTTCCAACCAAAGTGTATGAAACTCGCGAATTGCACTTATTCGCACGTTGATTAGGTTTTAACGGAAGACTGAACTGAATCTCACCTGAATCTCTCGTTTACACTATTCTTCAGCTGCATGCGCTGCACAAATGCGGCTTCGTTTTCCTGTGTGCAAATGAGTGTATTTCGCGCGTATTTTTATATTATTTGAGTTTTTATTTCCTGTTATTTCCCAAAGTCAGGCTTTTGGAACTTCATTTGACCCTTAGATTTACAGTTACTGTCCTAATTTAAAACGGGAATCGATGTAAGACAGGTGTGCTGCAAAGTCACTCAAAGAAACCAGAGTTCATTGGCCAGTACCATCACATCGACCCTCTTCGAGGTTCAGCTAATTTACGGTGGAATTTTTAATCCAATACTTTGTAATACCAGCTCCGTTTAGCACCACAAGAACAGTTCACCATACTGCACTACAGGTCAACGGTACTTCATCTAGTCCGATTATTGTCTTCATCGGCAATCTACACACTGTTCACCGACATCAGAAACTGACAGGCTGACGTGCGAAGGTGAACAGAAAACTCTTTAGGCATGATGCAACAGGTAGAGTGCTGTTGTTCGTTAAAATGCAACACAAGAATCAGCATGTATTGTGTGACATCACTATATCTGTTTTGAATTTGAGGCAGTTTTTCAGATGGCTTGAGTAGGCTGAACAAGTTTCAAGCATTTCAGGAGTCAGTTACACTTTGACTGGGGCTAAGTGATTCACTCCCTTGGAACTGTTATTTTGTCCTTCACTTGTGCAGATCTTTCTTGTAGTTTTACAGGTAACATCAAATTTAGATAAAATGTGGATTCTTGAGTGGTGTAAGAAGCTTCCCAGAGAATGTGAATCCCACGGAAACCTAGAGAAGGATAGTTGTCGACTGTTCTGGAGTCCGATGGGGGATTACTTAATAAGGTTTATGTCAATAGTAAACAGTACTGCTCCTGTTCGCGATACAACTCAAAAAAGCAAATCTTGTTTTTTAGCGTAGATAACCAGAGAAAAATCTTTGGACTCACCAAACTTGTGCTTGCCATTCGACTGGCGATATTAACCGTGTCACCAAAGAGACGATATCGGGGAGCATTGTGACCGAAAACCCCGGCAACAATGGGACCTGTGTGACATCCAATCAAAAGCTGCACTTTGCTGGATTCACATGGCATCGTATCGCTCTCAGGATGTTTTGTTTTCCAGAATGGTCCTTTTTGTGTTGCCGACAGAATCTCCAGAGCCATCTCGGCAATGTGCGGTGCATGGAGTTGGGTGCGGTGTGGTGCGCCAGATACCAGCATGTAAGTGTCATTAATGGTCTCCACCTGTAACCCACGAAAGAAAAGTCATAGTATGAAGCGCAAGCCGCTATAAGAAATATAGCGTTGCAAATTCGTCAACACATTACGAGGACATCATGACGGCATGGACCAAAATCAATACAGAAGCAATCCATCAATATAAGCACACGGAAAATTGGAGACCAGACTTAGTCTGTTTGACTGTTTCTTCCCAGAGATGCTTAAATAAAAATACCATCTAGTAGTACCTACCTTGTAGACTTTATGTGACTCCGTGATAGCATCAAACATGGTATACATACTGTTCAGCAAGTGGATTACTTCCTCCACGGGTGTTTGCATGCACTTTGAAGCAAAATCGACAATCTTCGTGAAGCAAATACTGACTGCGTCAAAAGCCTAAAATAAGATGGAAAAATGCTGAGAATTACAAAATGGACTTATATTACGAACTGAGCGTACTGTAAAAGCTGCTCACTATTCAAAACTCTAACTCCTAGTTTTTGAAAAGTGGAGCAGCGAGCTGCATAGCGTGAATGGTTGGTGGAAACACACGAGCTGATACTGCGAATGATTGTCCTAGGCTTGCCGGGATGGTACGTACGATAAACCGATAGGGAGTTAGAAGTCTTCAAAATAGCAAGAAGTCTTACAAATCAGAAGAGATGCATGGTTTCCATTGGGTCAGATCATGAAGTTAATTAACAGTCGTCTTGTAAGCTGACTCGAATAAAGCACCCATCCTTGCTTATTCAGAGATATCGCGCCTAGATATTTAGCATTCTGGTTCACATTGAGGAAACAGACTTTGTTCAAGTTAAGTTTTTCAACGTCCTGTATTTCAAATTCTTGTGACCCAGTTGTTCAAAAAATAGCAATCCAGAGGCGCTGAGTGTACCCCACCTGAAACTTGACTACGCGCACTAGTGGCGGAAGTAGACTGGGTAGTATATTTTCCTATGTTCATGAGTAGGAAAAGTTATTTTCGGTGGTGACGAAAAGCTCAATACGAGTTCCGCAAACAGCACAGATTCCGAAAGCTTGAAATACATTGACGTTTTGTGAAGTTTTCAAGTTAACAGGGGGAAAATTATTTAGCTCCGATAAACAATAGAAATCCTGTTCTCCGTAAGACTAATAGTCTTGATCTCACCGCCCGGGTAGAGAACATGATTTTCCCGCTTGGTAAAATTCATAAGCTCAGTTTGGTCAATAGATCCATAGATAATGTTCCTGAATTTTTCCTAAATTTGCCAGCGCATAGTACATTATAATTCAAGCTGAAAGTATTTGGAAACTCATTATAAAACAACTCTATGTGATTACCTGAGAATCCCATACTGTTGAGGAACCCTAACCATATGTAGTGCAAAAGTATTCAAAGATTGATTTCCAGTAAAAAATGGTAGTTATCAGTGGGCGGATTTATCGCTGTACAAAACAGCTTAGTCAGATCAAGTAATTTGCCGGGTTGATCGGCTTTTAAGGCAGTCAAAGAATCAATCGGTGAGATTTATTTTGACTTGCTGACTTGATCAACACTGAGTGTCCCTCTGGGGTCGCTGTTTCTTTGGTTAGTGAGAATGAATAACACCAAGCATCCCAGCATGAAGAGAATAGAGGGTATGGAACTGGCAGCTATGTGAAGAGTGGTTTTGGATCGGCCAAGATGACATGCAGCGGTGTGTAGTTATCAGTAAAATGGCTTGTGTCTAAAAGTACGAAACGCACGCACAGTAAGATCCACTCAGTAAGATCCCCCAACCCAAAGACGATTGCCCTGATATTTCTTACTGCATACAGACAGACTGCATACAGATGGACACCCAAGGGGACCATTCCATCAAGATGTCCTAAACCAAAAATACAAAGCCGCAACTTGGTGACCAACTCCCCTAACCAACCAAGCGGTGATCATCCGCACTAACCAACCAACATGACCTTCAGATCGACACGCAACACTGATCAGATCGGCTGGTCATAAAAAATCTCACCGAATGGTTCTCTGACTGCCTTAAAACCGGATCAACCCGGTAACTTATTGCTTTGGCCTGACGAAAGCGAAACATTACCTAGCAAAAATCCATCCTCACCAAACCTCTCTGAAACGATGGCTAATCAATCGGTCATAAACATCTTCCATTTGACCAGTCATCATTCATTTTGGAAATCCTAAATGTCATCCAAGTCCATCTGGAATACCTTTTGCAGGTTACCACAACCTTTGAACTTTATTCAATTTTATGATGCCTAGTTTTGTGCTCATTATGGCTGTCTTATTAATTTTTTGAGTGGCCTGAATTTGAGGAAATCAGAGATAGACCAAGAAAGTGAATAACTTCGTGGGAATATCGCAAACCATGCTTTGCGAAACACAAGTAAAGTCTGTAGCCCCTCGCTTCCGTCTTACAACATTCCCGTTCTCATTGCACAATTACCGACTTCCTTCGCAAAACTGTCAAACTCATTGTTTTCATCTTTCTACGCAACTTTTTGAGGACCATCGTAGATGCCGATGAATAATGCTAACTCGAGTGCCGTCGACTGAGTGTAGCAGCTGACTTGATTATACTGTTTGTATTAACAGCCGTTGACAAGTCATCAGTATAGGAACTTGAGCTCTATGAACTAGCGACAAAGCACTATTTTGCTCACATGTTGCATGCTGACACACGGGCAGCTGCTGTGCAGTAAGGCCTTAGGTCCTTCCCCTGTATTCACCAGTAGGGGACAAAAGCTGGATGATGCTTGGATGATGCGTGTTTGACGTCTTCATGTGAACAGAAGATTGCAAAGTCACACTTTTAAGTGCAATGACTAACGTTGCCATCAGCACACGATACACCGATACACTCTACAAAGTGTCCACCTTACCAAGTCACCCAGGTTAAAATACTGTGTGCGACTTACTTGGATTGTTTCTAGCACCGGCGTACCGGTTCGAATTTGTTTGGCGATGGCTTTTGGAATACACTGGAAGAGTAGTTCGTCAGTTAGTTTCCGGAGCTTCTCAACTCGGCTCATACTCTTCTCCAACTGTTTGCTTGTATGGATTTGCTGAATGGATGAGATTTGTCACTAAATAAGTATTAGTTGAATAAATGCTTGACTCGGCGGTAGAAAGTGAAGGATTATTAAGGAATATATACATTTATTTGCACACTAACGTTTTTCTAACTTCACCGAACATGAAAATTATTCATGAGGTCTGAGAAAGAAAATGGAACAGCCCTCTAGTGTTTTCAGTGTTAAGTCAAGTGGTCACCCGTGATTAATAAGAATATATATTTTAACGATTTCTACGTCTGTGACGCCACTTAAATACACCAATGCCCAAGACCTTTATCGGTGGAAAGAATAGCCTGATATACCAGGGGAATATTTTATGACTTAAAAGACACTGGTGCATGATGCGAGTATAACTGCAGTTTCATTGATTCTTAACTCAAGACTTACCGGGTTTTCTCTCATAAGTTTTTCTTCCCTTCCCAATTTGAAGGACCTGTTTTAGAGTCTAGAGTTTTCATATTGTCAGTCATACAACGCTTTTACTGTGTTGCCATTTCATCTGTGGTAACACGGACCCTGTGGAGCGTTGACCAAATCTACGGATCCTCTTAGGATGTAAGGAGTCCGCCCGCTACACAGTCATACGATGAAAGTGACCACACTTACCTCAGCCCGACTGCGTACGCCCATTGGACCAACACATAGTAACCGTAATTATGTGCGGACCGCTCACGTTGAAAGGAAGTTTAAAGTGTGAACGTAAGAGGCTAATCTTCGACAGCCCACGACCGGTTTCGTCATACTCGAATTTCCGTCGTCCTTCTGTTCTACTTGAACCCGAATCGCACGAAATTAACAAAATACATTCGTTTGCATACCAGTTTGGTTTTGGCAGGTGTGCGACTTACTTGGATTGTTTCTAGCACCGGCGTACCGGTTCGAATTTGTTTGGCGATGGCTTTTGGAATACACTGGAAGAGTAGTTCGTCAGTTAGTTTCCGGAGCTTCTCAACTCGGCTCATACTCTTCTCCAACTGTTTGCTTGTATGGATTTGCTGAATGGATGAGATTTGTCATTAAATAAGTATTAGTTGAATAAATGCTTGACTCGGCGGTAGAAAGTGAAGGATTATTAAGGAATATATACATTTATTTGCACACTAACGTTTTTCTAACTTCACCGAACATGAAAATTATTCATGAGGTCTGAGAAAGAAAATGGAACAGCCCTCTAGTGTTTTCAGTGTTAAGTCAAGTGGTCACCCGTGATTAATAAGAATATATATTTTAACGATTTCTACGTCTGTGACGCCACTTAAATACACCAATGCCCAAGACCTTTATCGGTGGAAAGAATAGCCTGATATACCAGGGGAATATTTTATGACTTAAAAGACACTGGTGCATGATGCGAGTATAACTGCAGTTTCATTGATTCTTAACTCAAGACTTACCGGGTTTTCTCTCATAAGTTTTTCTTCCCTTCCCAATTTGAAGGACCTGTTTTAGAGTCTAGAGTTTTCATATTATCAGTCATACAACGCTTTTACTGTGTTGCCATTTCATCTGTGGTAACACGGACCCTGTGGAGCGTTGGCCAAATCTACGGATCCTCTTAGGATGTAAGGAGTCCGCCCGCTACACAGTCATACGATGAAAGTGACCACACTTACCTCAGCCCGACTGCGTACGCCCATTGGACCAACACATAGTAACCGTAATTATGTGCGGACCGCTCACGTTGAAAGGAAGTTTAAAGTGTGAACGTAAGAGGCTAATCTTCGACAGCCCACGACCGGTTTCGTCATACTCGAATTTCCGTCGTCCTTCTGTTCTACTTGAACCCGAATCGCACGAAATTAACAAAATACATTCGTTTGCATACCAGTTTGGTTTTGGCAGGAAACTCACCTGGAACCCGGCTGAATTTCTCTTTTATGGTATACTGCGATATTCCGACTATCGTACAAATTGAAACATGAGGTAGCCTGCTGCTGCGCATTTACTTGCTTAAAACGTCATAAGCAAGAGCTGGGTCCCAGGTGAAGCGTACGTCAAAACCAACTTTGTATACAAATGTGTGCTTCGCTGAGGTTGAAATTACCTTATCCTGTATACATATGAAGTCGATACTAGACCGAGATTCGTGACTGATCTCGTTATATCGCTGTCGGGCAAAATTTACACACGCTTTCTCCCCCATATTGAAGAAGACATCCCTTTTCCAAGGTCACTTAATCTCAATTGCTTAGCGAGAACGTGTCCACTTGAAATTTAAAGCTGCTCAATCCTGGTTCTCTGACTATGTACTGACTGTCAACAGCTTTTATGATATATATTTGTCAGTAACTCGCAAATTAATACTTGTGTTTTGAGTGTTTGTATTGTACGATGCCTCTTGCAGGTGAATATGCACGCTAATCCTCTTGAGACTATGAATTACAACGAATTCCACTAAATTCAACTAAATTCAATAGGTGGAATGTAATGCCTTTTCATTCAGGTTTAAAATTGAAAATATTTTGAATTCCAAGTGTTAAGAACACATTTCCTCAATGAAGATTTTAGGCAAGGAGTTTGGACGAACTAACTGAAACCGGCAGTAGACCACTGGCGAGTATCCAGCAAGCTTTGTGATTTGTGAGTTCTCTCAAGAAAATATGCTACAACATATCGTGTGTTGTACCAACTAAAACAGTGAAATTGTGCAACACATTCAGTTGAAGGATATCACAAACGGTTGAGACACTCTTTACTGCGAGTGAATGCATTTCGTCGGCTGCGTAAAAGTTGGAGTTAAAACGGATGAAAACTGGTGGGCCAAGCCGAACTCCAAGAGCTCAGAGTTATCATCAACAGTTTGTGTAGCATGATATATATCAAGAACTGTTGTTGTTCATGTTCCTCACCACCCATATTACCGTACCATCCAGAAGCCACGGGTTAGGATTGATATGACAGTAGTAGTCGTCGCTCCTAGGGTGTGCTCTCACCAAATCGGAGATGGTATGAAAGTCTTAGTTGTCAGTTTAGAAAGGCTTCTGAAGCTTTCACTGCAGTTGGGTTACCGACAGCTGTGTATTCATGTCGCCTGATCTGATGTCCATCAGATTTTACGCCTTACTAGGGAGATGAATGTTGGAAACCCTGCCGTTGTGTTTTTGAACCCTAAAAGGACGCGACTATCATGTTGCCTTATGTTAACATTAACATCCTATTAACATCAACGTCTCTGACTAATCAACCCATTTTTACATCAGGCAGTTAGGTGAGTCTCGTTTTGACGACAGCACTTTTCGGACAGTCTGAATTTTCTAAAGGTCATGGAGTGCGACCACTCTTATTCTAGCCAGGTAAACTTTCGACACAATTCTTGCTGATTTAACTTCCCATCGAATAAGAGTAAATAAGTGACATCATTCAAATTAGTGTACTGCACAAAGGTCGTCTTATGTTTCAGTTGGCACGATGTTCGAGACACTATAGTATGTTTTCCTTGAGAAAACTGCTCATAAGGTTACTGAAACTTCTTCAACAGCCCACAATCGGTTTCGCCCTTCTTGGGGACGATCAGGTACGCGCAGTCTCCGAGTTTCCGTCAACTTTATGTTCTACACGAACTCAAATTGGCTGGTTTTGACTGATACATTCATTAGCCCTAAGAATGACGAAGAACAGCATTAACGAGAGATTGATTTGGGTCTCTTGTGAAAGCCAAACTGATGTCCAAATGAATGTATTTGTCGAAATCAGTCTAATTTGGGACTGAACCTACTTGATGTACCCCAAGAAGGATGAAACCGGTCGTGGGTTGTCAAAGAGCTTTCAGTAACCTTGTGAGTAGCTTCCTGTAAGCAAATAACTGACTTATTTTCCGATATTCAGCCAGCCAGTTGAACTGCATATTGCGTTGGGTGAGAATGTTCGGTAATTTTTCACTTAGATGGTAAATGTGTGGGAATAGATTTTTAGTTGACCTATGTTATCATGCTCTCAGCTCTGGCGCATGTGTTTGCTGAAGTTTACGGCTACCTGAGTGCCCGTGTACTTGATTTTATCATTGTTGAGAAGTAATGAAAACCGGGTTTCCAGAGCTGTTTGGGAGAATACATTATGATCTTGAGGCTGCCTGAATGTCAGTGTGGGTTGTGGGCTTTCTAACCTTGGGGATCATATATAAACGTCATGAAATAACTGTTCTTGCTCTTGTTCTTGTTCTTCCTCACCTGTCATGAAAACCAGACTCTGTATCATAACATCATCCATATCGATTCAGTATATTAGTTGCCACGGTAAGTCGTACCAACCCTGAGTTGCGTCTCATGCAATCAAAAAAATATAGTTGTCTTCGTAGTTCTTCGCGCTGAATACATTAAATTGCTTGCTCACTCATTCTGAAATTCACCGAATCAAACATTGGAAGAATATCCCCCGCAACGAAGGAGTGAGGATAGGTCCTTGCTCCATAGGAGCATTCAGTGTATTGATTGTCTCCTTATTCTTACCAACTGGTTCTACCTTTCAGCTGGTAAAACGTACGTACCGTCCTCAAAAAATACTATTGGTGAATGACTTTAGGATCTTCCAAGCGTATTATATTCCTTTTAAGTCATTGGAGAGACCCACCGGTCACAATATAATGTGATACTCTAAAGCTATGCTGTTAGAAGTCAGCAGTGCCTCCGAAACGTACCGCACACAGTCACTCTGTAAAGCGTCCAGCGGGTTGGATGCTTGTTTGAAAATATTTGGCTAAACAGCGCATTGAGAGGGTTCCATAGATCAAGAAGCTAAGCCTGTCTTTGACGGAAAGGAATTTTTCTAAATCCAACCAAGAGTGAGCGGTCTAGTTAGAGGTTAATGTCTGCTTTAAACTGTGGAACTTTTTACTAGCTTGACTGATTATTATGAAGTTAGGTTTCGGTTAATGGTTAATGGCAACAACGAGATTACACACATTAGGTGTACTGCTTTGAATTAGCAGTAAACGTCTCTAGCATGAACACTCCTTCGATATTGGAAAACGTTTTGCGCCTGTAGTTATTTTTGACATGAAGAGGATAGTCCATATTACATATCCTAGTTTGGTATTGTTAGAAATTTGGATGAAAAAATTCCCTAAATGCCTCTTCTCCCCCAACATAATTGATTTCTTTGAATTTTTACAACGGGATGAATGGGCCTGCTGGTTTTTATAACGCCTGTTCGAAAAAGTCTTGTAAAATGTTCAAAAACACAGTAACCCATTCGAATCAGGTTGAGATAAAGACTCTGGAAGTGTTCGACAGCGATAATCGAACACGACTTTACATTTTTAAGATGCAATGTACCCCGACACTTCGTCATTTTATTCCAAAAACATAAAGGATCCAATTGAAAATGATCACTCTGATGTGGGCACGTGGTAAATCAGGGTGTTGGGAACAGCAAAACGTTTTGACCAGAAGCTGCAGCAGCGGCTTATCATGATAAAAACAATATTGTTTGGGAATTTTTGTTTACCTAGATGCATCATGCGATCTTACGCTTTCACCACTCTTGGTTGAATGACCAGACCAATCCGACACTTTCCTTTGGATGAACAACCACAATGTCATCTCAGGCTTTTGATTAGGCCACATTTCTTTGTGGCTTTGAATTTTTACAACGGGATGAATGGGCCTGCTGGTTTTTATAACGCCTGTTCGAAAAAGTCTTGTAAAATGTTCAAAAACACAGTAACCCATTCGAATCAGGTTGAGATAAAGACTCTGGAAGTGTTCGACAGCGATAATCGAACACGACTTTACATTTTTAAGATGCAATGTACCCCGACACTTCGTCATTTTATTCCAAAAACATAAAGGATCCAATTGAAAATGATCACTCTGATGTGGGCACGTGGTAAATCAGGGTGTTGGGAACAGCAAAACGTTTTGACCAGAAGCTGCAGCAGCGGCTTATCATGATAAAAACAATATTGTTTGGGAATTTTTGTTTACCTAGATGCATCATGCGATCTTACGCTTTCACCACTCTTGGTTGAATGACCAGACCAATCCGACACTTTCCTTTG